TACTAAGTACAATTTATCACAGACAGCATCAAAGAGGAAATTTAGTCAACTTTAACAACTTTAGACGCTGTAGGTGAAGATATAACACATATTCGTATCTAGAAAAAAAGCTAAAAATGCTTACCACGTTATCTGTATATGATGCAACATTTGCACCTAGAAAAAGAAGGCGGAATAAACAAATTGGTAAGCAACCTCAAGGTTAGTTAACTGAAACGAGTTGGAAGGCAGTATTACATAGAGATCTCAAAAATTTGCCTAAAAGTGTCAGGCTTATGAGTTGGGATTTCGGATTTCCACGGCTTTAAATTGGTTTACAGCCTTTTGAAAGTCTCTGCATTTTCTCACAGTTAGCGGAAGCTAAACATTTTTCGAAAAGCTTTATGTTATCTTTCGATTTCGGTTAAAATGAAGGTAGTTTCAGTAAATCGTTCATTCATTCATTACGTAGGGTTTGGGTCCTACTATTAGCAAACTTTTAGGACAATAAAAGCAAGTGCATGCTCCATCGTATTGTTAATAGTGAAGATGACTCTCCTGAAAATAAACTATTTTCGATAGATAATCATCAGAAATTTTACCTATATTTTTCTTTTTTGTTGTCGTATCGAATACTCATGTTCGAGTTCTAGTTTTATATTGTTTATGTGTTGCAAGTTATGACTATTCACTATTCTAGGTCTTTCATATTTTCATCTTTTGTGTGATAAAATCCCCAGAACGTTGCTTCGTTCACATACCATGTCTGAAATTGACGATAACATCGGTCCTTTGCCAACTGAATGTTCAAACGAAATCGACAATAATGATGAAAATGGACGTGGTGATGATACAGTTGGTCCTTTACCAACTGAAATGATACAGTCTCAGGAAGATGCTTGTGAAAACGATGATACTGTCCAAGTTCCTAAAAAGAAACGTAAAGGTCGGTCGTTTTGTTTGCCACTATATTTCAATTATTTCATCCATTATGGACCTCAAATATTCTGATTTATGCCTTATTTAAACCGATAGATTAGAAGTTCCCTTACTAAACAATACTCATCATCACATAAATCAACACATCATACTTTGTGTAATACTCTAATCATGAGATTCACGCCTATATTATACAATCTATTAAAGCGATTGTGAGTGTGTAGTCTGCTGAGGGTGGTCAAAGGAAGCCTTAATGTCAGTTAACGAGGTCTGCTACTGTTAATGCGACTCGAAGTGTTTAGTCAATCAATCAACCAGTCACAACGTAGAACTTCGTAAGTAAGTACATCAGTTCATGTTGCCATACCACATTAATACAGACGCAATTGTCAACTCAAATCCAACAGTTGTAGAGGTAGTAGAAGAATTAGCAGTAACAGAGAAGATTAGGATTTGAAGATAATTTTCAAGTATAATTCAGTGAGATAAGCTTAGAAAGACAAAGGTAGAGGTGCTGACGAATCCAGAAGATTAGTGTTCAAGAGAACATAAAGAGTGGATGCACCTGCGCCATTGCAAACGATTTTGAGTCATGTCGTTCAAGGTCTCTAACTATCGGTGACTTAGTCTCGCGGACCCCGACCAGGTCGCCTACATCTACCAACATGACTCAGTCCACTAGTAAGTGACTTCATGGATTTGTGCCATGTTTTGGTTTGGCCTCCCCTAGCTTTCTCCCAACCTATTCTAACAGCGCAAAATATAGCTCGTCGATTCAGTCGGTGGTTGGGCATTCGTAACACATGTCCCAACCACCTCAACTGATGAAGTTTCAATACTTCATCTATTGATCTGCCATCCTTACCTAGCACCCGTTTCTTAATAACAGCGTTGCTCACTCGGTAGTCCCAGGATATACGAGCAATTTTTCGAAGACACCTATGATTGAAAACCAGTAACCTGCGAATATCTACTGTGACTGGGTCACCATCCTTAAATATCTCAGGGGTCAATCCATCAGGAGCCGCTGCTGGCCCTCGCTTCAGATTTCCTATCTCTCTCTCAACTCCATAAAGAGTCGGGGGACTTTCGTCTATTTGCCATTCAGGATGACTGGAGATCGTGGGTGACCGAAGTGTGGCTGAAGTTCAGTTGAACAGGTCCCTACAGTGTTCAGTCCATCAATCCAATCTCGTGGATTGAGAATGAATGATGCGGCCATCTTTTTCCGAAATAGTCTCACTCACATTAGGGTTCCTAAAACCAGTTTCCTTGATAAGTCTGAATACTTGCCTACTGGTGACTATCACCTCTGCCTTTTCCATCTCTCTCGCTTTCACTACCAACCACTGTTCTCGATCATTGCGTAGGCTTTTTATCGGCTTGCGCCTAAGCTGACTCCGCTGCTCATCGTACTCAGAGCCAGGTGGGATAAGTTTTCGAGCATCCATCAGTTCGGTAGATGCTACTGAGATCCACGCCTTCTTCCTAGACATATGGTTCGCCTTGCTAGTAGATATCACTGCTGTTTCCCCAGCTTTTCAGATATCTTTCCTACCTGCCTCCCGATGGGAATCGCTTACATAGTCGCCTAACTGTTTCCTGAAATATATTCTTAGCTTTATTATCATTAAGTAGAACTCTAAGAGGTATCCTCGCGGTGTCTTTCCTACGTCCAGTAAGCCTCAAACAAATACGTGCTCGCACTAGGGCATGATCTGGATCTAAACATGTGCCCCAGAACGAGCGACAGTCCTCTACTGAACCTCTCCATCGGTGGCTCATGGCAATGTGATCTAGTTGGGCCCATTGTTGTGACGACTTTGGGGGTCGCCAGGTCAAAAGATTCTTTTCCATTATGCCTAAAGTTAGTGTTTGCCAGGAATAGGAGGTTATGAAGTGTTTGGTAAGCATTTAGGGTGTAGTCCTAAAGCTCTTATACTTATGATTAGATTATACAGCTTAAAATCGACCATAATTGTGCTTTGTAGCCAAACTTTATTTTCCATTTAATGAATAGCTCTATCTTTCATGACTTTACGTGGATTTCTAATTTCTGTTTCTACCCCATTACGCATTCTAAAACGCCAAACAGATGCAGTTGTAAGGGGTGTTTATTTTTCCTTTCTGTGTTCGAAAAGTTTGTTTTTAATTCTATTGAGGGTCTTTCCGACAATATTGTACCTAGTGAGAAACATTTCACTTCACTTTTTGTATTTCAGTACTTAAAGATGAAGCAATTTACCTACGAAATATTCCAACGGCTCAATACTATGAAATAAGCTATATGCATAGAAATGTGATTACACATGTTGCCTATTCGAAGTAAGTAGATTTATAATTCCAATAATGTTGAGGATAACTACACTACTATATAATTGGTTTATCAACCTTAGTTTTATCTCCCTGACGAAACGTATTCAACTTCTTCACAACTAAGCTATAATCTCAATAAAAGTGTGCTCAATTTGAAGAGAGTTTACTTTACAGACTGACGTAAGTCACAGCAATATGAACAATCGGGTAGCACCAGACGACAGTTTCATCCTAGTTTATAACTACTCAGGAATTCGGGCTCCTAACTTCATACACAACCAAACTTAATAACTTTCCTCGTGGTCAGTGAAATTCATACTACCTAATAGGTTTTTTTCCATGAATGTTTTTTAGTCGGCTTCTACTTCTACTGACACAGACTCACTGCACTATTGAAGGAGGAGATGGACGATTCAGCCAAGAAACATTTCTAAAAATCTTTCTTTTTATAGCTTCTAGTTCCCAGTGATCAGCATTTTCGCCCATATCATTACTTGGTTATTTTCTTACTTAATTTTTAAATTTCAGAACTCACTATTTGATGACTTGTAGCAATGATGGTCATTTTAAATTCTGGAGAAAAGCTGATGGTGTCGGACTAGAGTTTATCAAACACTACCGAGCACATTTAGGTAAGAAACTTTAGTGGACTACTTGTTCTCCCTTCTTTATTATCTTAATTCTTGTAATAGTTTTGCTATCTTTTAACAGTCTGTCATTTCGGTATTATGTGCTTGCTGTATAGTTGCCTTTCTCATCTTAGTTTTATAAGAGATTATTCACTGACTTCACCTATTTATTATGAAAACAGTTTACACTAATTTCAAGTTCCATAACTGATGCAATATCATCTCTTCAGAATGACCTAAACTACTTTAACAACAGTATGAAGCAATACTTGAAAAGTTTCGCAACTTATCTGTTTTTCTTTTTTTATCTGTAAATGAAAAAATTTCTGTTTTTGATGGATAACTTTTCTCTCAGTAAATGCTCTTTATAGATCGAACCAGTTGGTCTATATGATTTGAAAACTAATAGGCATAAGTTAAACAATTTCAGATCCACAAGAACATCAGAATAATACTTTACCTTAATATTTGTATGCTTGCCATTTAAAACATTTCAGGTGTTTTCAGGTTAAACGGAGATGACAAGCTGTTCGTATCTAAAACACTAAATTCTAATGAAGATGTTTCTCATCATTCTATCTAGTTACAGAAAGTGAATGGTATTTTTGCTTACTGTAAACGTCAGAATTAAAGTTCGTAACTCGATAACTAGATGTCAAGTTTGTTGAGGGACGTTTTTTAAAGATTTCCTTTTTTGTAAATTGATATGAAATTTGGAATCATCTAAAATCTAGTAGTACTGGATAGCTTTCTCTCATCATTATGACAGGCAATCAATTTTAGCTTTTGACCAAATATTCAAAAATCTCATTTCTCTACAGTTCATGACAAATATAAAGATCTTGGTTAGTAGTTTACTTTTAAATCAACTAATTTCTGTTTATATTTTCTGGAATTTTAACTACGAATTATAATGGTAATTTATTATATGTATTCTCTCGAAAGTTCGTGTATGATGCTTTCATTTCTTTCGTACGACAGGAGCCATTCTTGGCTTATCAGTTAGCTGTGACGGTGAACTAGCCTGTACTGTTGGTGATGATAAAACTGCCAAGGTTTTTGATGTCATTAATTTTGGTGAGTTTTCAACAGACTTATAAATTTTATTTTTATTTTCCTGAAAGACTGAAAGGTTTGTGATGTTTTACGTATTCATTATCTGTCTAGTTCCCAGTATTCTTTTTCTCTAACATTTGAGTCGTTCAATTTTATGCGTTTGATGAATAGTTACTCAAGACAAAACATGTAAACTACATGTTTTGAAACTATTCTTCACAGATAACCACAGATACACTCAAATGATCAAACATAACCGTGGTTGTCATAATTCTGTTACTAAAAATAGTGGTAAACTCTGAAGTATGTATGTAGTTATAGTTAAACACCTGTAATGTTCCCGTGGAATGTTTATGGGAAACAGTTGGTTAGACATCATTTTAATGCACACTTTACTTACTTACGCCTGTTACCACTAATAGAGCATAGGTCACCAACCAGCATTCTCCAACGTACTCTTTCCTGGACCTTCCTTTCCAATTCTGCCCACTTGCTGTTCATTCTTTTGATGTCTGCTTCCAATTCTTGGCGTAATGTGTTATGCGGTCTTCCGCTTCTCCTTTGGCCATAAGGATCCCAAGTTAGGGATTGCCTCATGATTCAGTTGGGTGATGTCTGCAATGTGTCCTATCCACCTCCAGCGCTTTCTCCCAATTTCCTCCTCAGCTGCAATCTACTTTGTTCTTTCCGACACTAGGTTGTTGCTGATGGTGTCTAGTCAACTGATCCTCAGTATCACGCGTAAATCACTGTTAATAAGCACTTGCATTTTCCGGATTATCGCTTTCGTGGTTCTTCTAGTTTCTACTCAGTACAGTAGAATAGTCTTGACGTTTGCATTGAAAATTGCGGCTTCGGTGTTGATTGGCAGTTTTGTTGAGTCCCAGATGTTCTTCAGTTGCAGAAATCCTGCCCTCGCTTTGCCAATCCGGTCTTAACATGGGCATCAGATCCACCATGTTTATCAATGATGCTACCTAGATGTGTAGATATTTCTACGTTTTTCGAAGCTTATCTGTTAGGTGTAATTCTGTTGGTTCATGTTGTGTTGTAGTCAAGGTTCTTACCGTTTTCCTTGTCTATGTTGAGACCGATTGCAGATACTGCTGCAACACTTGCCATTCCTCCTGCATTTGTTGTTGTGTGTGGGATCGAAGAGCGAAGCCTAAATTGTCCAGCTGTCCACTATGTTATGTGCTTCCTCTGAGATGTTGACTTCTGCATATTCCAATCAATTGCTGGAAGAAGGAGGAATGGTGAGAGTAAGCAACCTTTCCTAATAGCGCTCTTCACTTCGAACGAATCTTTGAGCTGTCCTCTATGCTCAATCTTGCAGTTTGATCCATAATGCGCACATCAGAAAATATTATTTGTTGAACGGTCGATATGTATTTTCCAAAAGTCTACAACATTTCGGTCAACCGTAACCATACATATAACCTTGAGGTTCCGCCTAATTAAACTTACTTTCCTACTGACCATGACACCCGACCGTAGCTGCTACCTTGACGTGGTGGTCGGGCTTGCCTATCGTGATGACCCAACCGAGCTATACTGGCTGGAACATATGTTCCTCAAGGTTCTACCATGCCAGGCAGGTCGATTGGAGAACGATGAGACTAAAAGCAGCTACCCAAGGTCTGAGGGCGAAGTCGTACTGCTGACTGCAGAGGGGTGTGACAGCAGTAAGGTGTTTCCCTCGGACAACCAGCATCTGCAGCGATGCTGCCTTCTCACAAGGAAGGAAGGGTTAGAAAAGGTCGGCCCTAAAAATGTCACACCTCCCCTAACTCACGGATTTCCGTCTCCTTGGGTAAGGGTGCCCACTAAGGGCCTTTAAGAACGGAGCTAAT